TTTACCCCTCCCCTCAATTCAAGTGACTATGATGCAGCTAGTCCACAGGTCATTCATGTAATACTAATGTATGTCCAAGACCACATGGAGGTCTGTGAAAGTAAAAATAAGAAAAGTTACACAGATTACTTCTCTATCTACTAAACATCACTTCTAGGTTTACCTCTTTTAACACAGAACTAGTCTCAGAAGCAAACTTATTTGGTTCAGTCATAGCCTATCACGTTACTATAGAGTGTAAAGACACTGATTTGCAAACAGTTTCAATTTTTGAAGTTAATATTTTAATTAAGAAACAAAACTCTTAAATAGTTTCTCAAAATTCAGTCAAAAAGCAGTTAAGTGAATCAAATTCAACTTGCAGGCCACTTGCTGGCAACTAGAAATTAATCCACTGGGTTAGGGAGGCAAGGTTTCAGCCAATCCCAAGGAAGTCTCCAGAATGGTTTTCTCATCACCCCTTCAAACCTAAGGAAACTGAAGAGATTTAGGAACTGCCCCAAGAGTTTGTATCTTCTATAGGTAGTGAGAAAAATGGTCCCATTACCATCTGAACAATGCATTAGATTTCCTTGAAAACAGATCTCAACCCCTGTAATTATATATTTATTTTTTGTAATTACACATTTAACTGAGGTTCTTCTAAAAGAAACCTAGTGTCCCTGAAGCTTTTGTTTCAGTTTCATTTGTCACCAAAGCTTCTCAAAGCTCCCAAGCAATACTTTCTTACCTCAGGGGAATTTACACATTACTTTGTCAGAAACAATCTGTTTCTGCCTTTTTCACTGTGGGCAAGTATTGCTGAAATATCTTTTTTCCAAGAAAACTTTGAAGTCAGGTCAGGTTTTCCTGTTAGGACTACAATATGCTTAGTGCCCCTATTATCACTTTGCTATGGGTGCTCATTTGATGCTGCTTTCCCCTCTTTTTAAAATCATTCATTCATTCATTCATTTGGTATAGGGTCTCACTACATAGCTTGAACTCATAGTGATCCTCCTGTCTCAGCTTTCCCAGCTCTGGGATTACAGGCATGCACCACCATGCCTGGTTTCAGGGTCAGTACGGTGTACCTGGGGTTCCAGGGCTGGCACAGCATGTAGTACTGGGGATCGAACCCAGGTCCTTGTGCTTGCCAGGCAGGCACTTAGCCACTAAGCTATCTCCCCAATCTTGTTTTTTTCTCTTGGCAATAGTTCTAGAAGGCTAAAAGCTTTGTGCATAGTGTCACTGTAACCCTGGGACCTAATAAGTAGCAGATAATTACTGAACCACTAACATGAAATGAGAGTGGGTTTTAAAATAAACATTTTTTAGCAGTTCACCAATATATAATCTGAAATAGTACTTCTTATGAAAACATATCATGCCAGTGAATTTCTAAAGATGTACTAATTTGATTAGTGAATAGTCTTAGGTTATTCCAAAATCATACAAAGTTCTTCAACACAGTCATAGTGCCCTAACCTAACACATCTAAATATTGTATTTTACAAACATTCTTTTGGTCCCTTCCTAATCATAGCTGGTAACTGTGTACTTCGTTTTCAACTATTCATTTCCAAAAGAAACTTCAAAATCACCTCCTTCAGTCTTTCATTCTCACTTCTATTTTTGTTTATTTTTCTGGTCCTTTCTGTTATACATATGCAATTGTGTTATACAATGTCATTTTTTTTGATCTTAAAACTCAAGTGTTCTTGTGAGATTTTTGGACTTATGTGCAAACATGAGAAGTATATAATTCTTTATCCTATTTTTAAAATATAATCTAATT